CTGTCTCACTGTCCCACTGTCCCCCTCTCTCACTGTCCCCCTGTCTCACTGTCCCTCCCTCTGGTTTTTTTGGCCTAATTTGTTTGTATTGCTGCTATTTTATTTTCCAACATGCTGCTATGGGGTAGGGTACTGAGAAAATGAGAAAATATCAACCAGTTCTGACTGCTGGTCCATAGCTTCCATTTCATTATTACCAGTTTTATAATTACCATTACCGGCTTATAAATCATCACACACACACACACACACACACACACATATATATATACCTCATGGCAATTGATAGTATATTTTGAATCTGTTTCAATCTTTCAGTGCTGAGGATCTTCTGTGTTTCCACTGTGACCTGCCTATTTCCGAGAATCTCCAAATCCAGATGAATTGTGTGTGTTTATTTATTATTTATATTTTCACTTGCACTATTTCGATACTTGAGATGTCTCTGTTGTAGTGCAGGAATCTGTTCTGTTCTGTTCTTGAGCATCAGTCACTCAGAAGTTTGAGAAGAATCGCTGCATTTCTCCAGTACGTCCCCCTTCCCGACCCCCGGAGCGACACTGACCAGGTCCACTTCTGTGTCTGCGCCCGCAGGTGGGGACTGGCCCGGGAGTGGGCTACAACGTGAACATTGCGTGGACGGGCGGCGTGGACCCTCCCATGGGGGATGTGGAGTATCTGACCGCCTTCAGGTACAGATCCGGCTGAGGGACAGGCGCTGTAGCGGTGACGCGGGCGGTGTGAGTCTGGTATGTGTGAGGGGGGTTCTGCGCACCGTGGATGCCATCTGAAACTGCCTCGCCTGTCGCAATGCAGGTGAAGACCGCCAGTCGACCGTGGGGTGTTAACACCCCTCCCACCGTCCCCACTGGCATGCGGGCTGTGTGAGCTGCCGCAGCTGCTGGCCCACACTGCCACCCTGTGGCGGGCTTCTGCCTAATGCTCTCTCTCTCTTTCTCTCCTATCTTTCTCTTCCTTTCTTATCTCACCTTGCCTAGGACTGTGGTGATGCCCATCGCCAACGAGTTCTCCCCGGACGTGGTGCTGGTGTCAGCTGGATTCGACGCCGTCGAGGGCCATCAGTCCCCTCTGGGGGGGTACTCTGTCACAGCCAAATGTGAGTGAACGTCACCGTCACTGTGTGTGCCTACAGGGGGCGCTATTCAGGCTGCATGTGACCTGCAGGCTCACCAGTGGTCTGACCTTTATATCCTGCACATTTACTGGTTACCCCCTGACCCTCAATTGTTTAATTAAGCATGTATAATTAATTATAATAAATAATTAAGTGCTTATAAGTGTTTCTGACTGATGATGCCTGTCAGGTTTCGGTCACCTGACCAAACAGCTGATGAAGTTGGCGGGCGGGCGTGTCGTCCTGGCGCTGGAGGGGGGTCACGACCTCACGGCGATCTGCGACGCCTCAGAGTCGTGCGTGTCCGCCTTGCTGGGGGAGGAGGTACGCCCCGCCCCGTCCCGCACACACCACCGTCATCCTGTCACATAGGCCCAGCCGGTGTCCTCATGGCTGCCCCTGGTTGTCACCTCTTGCAGCTGGATCCCCTGCCCCAGAGCGTGATGCAGCAGAAACCGTGTCCTAAAGCCGTCACCTCGCTGGAAAAGGTCATCGAGATCCAGAGTGAGTGCTGGGACCCGTGGAGCCCTTCGAGGGACAGGCCAGCTGCCGTCTGTGCGTGGGGGAGGGTCCTCCTTAGTGACAGCCTCCTCTGCCCCGCAGGCAAGCACTGGAGCTCAGTGCAGCGCTTCAGCTCTGCGGCTGGCCTGTCGCTGCTGGAGGCTCAGCGAAGGGAGAAGGAGGAGGCCGACACAGTCTCGGCCATGGCCTCGCTCACCGTGGACGCCGAGCAGGGCGTAATCCAGGACTCCAGCAGGTATGTGCACCACACCCCCATCCAGTGTGTCATTGCTTCCGGAAATTTCCATCTGCGTTTCAAAATGCCTGTTGTTCACTTTGTCGTCATTGTATTAAATTTCTGAGGTACATTACTAACAACTAAGTGTTCCTTTTTGACACAGTTAGTGCTTTTAGACTGAAATACTTTATTATATTAGGTCAAACTTTTTTTGGGTCCCGGCCAGAAGACCAACAGGGACTTGTTTTGCTGGAAGTTACATCACCTGTGCTGTAAAGCGACAGCTCTTAGGTGCCGTTTTATCACAGTCACATAGGGAGATGGTTACTGTAGCTGTGATGTGAGCTCAGCAGCTGAACTCTGCTGACCTTCTTGTATTTCACAGTCACACCGCCTGCTGTCTTTGTCAAAGACACACACACTCACACACACTCACACACACACACACACACACATCTGGCACAGAGTATAATTAACTTCCTCATTTGTATGTATATCGTAATGCTTGCTATCTTCTGTAGCACGTCATTGAGATGTCTGTTATGGTGGGCAGGGCTAAGGCGTTGCTGTGGATTGGCTGGCTGTGAGCAGGCCGCGTTTCAGTGGTCTGGTCTTCCTGTACCCGCAGGTCCATGGAGGAGCCAATGGAGGAAGAGCCCGTGCTGTAGGGGGCGCTGACGCCCGTCGCGAACCGCGGAACCCATCACTTTCCACCCCCTGCTCCTCCCTCCCCCTCCCCAGATACTGCAGGCCTGTTCTTCTGTCGAGGCCCCTCTCACACCACCCGACGCTGTCGGAGGGCTTGACTGACATGACGAGTCGGACGGATAGACGGATGGGGCTTGTCCCCCGCAAACAGGCTGGTGTTTTTTTTAACGGGGTGGAGGCGGCGTGGAGCTTCGGAGGACTGGACAGCGCAGAAGGCGGTTTGTCGTTTTTAACGCACTTTTCTCCTCCCAAAGCTGGCAGTACGGTATGAAGTAAGGAGAGAGTAGAAGTAAGGAGAGAGTAGAAGTAAGGAGAGAGTAGAAGTAAGGAGAGAGTAGCACAAACTAACGTACACTCACATGCGTCTGGGAGGAGGAACCACAGTGTTTTCGGGAGTGCACCAGCCCTCGGGGTCGCTTTCATTCTCGTGAGTGTGCGTAACTTTTATCTCTGTTTTCTTTTTTTATTTTGTCAGTGTACTTGTCTGTTTGTTCAGTACTGTGCAAAAGAGCACAAATATATTGTACGTATAACATGAAACGGCATATATACTAGTAACTACACACACATGCACACACACTGTATATTTCTATCCATTTTGTCTACTCTGTGTGTTGGGTCAGGACAGGGTTTGTCTGTGTTTTTGTATTTTCCAAAAGCACTGCGAAAAGGAAAAAAAAAGATCACTCTCCCTGTAGCAGCCGAATGTTTCCGCGGAGAGAGCCCGGTTCTCATACCGGTCGCCCGGAAAACATATTTATTTCCTCACTTGCGGACGTTCAATAGGGTCATGACACATTCAGCTGTTTTTTTTTTTTTAAGTATAATTTCTTTCCGTCCAACTAATACGCTCTCGCACATTCACTGGCACCGCACTTGCTGATCGCTCCCTCCAGGGCAGCCACAAAGCGTTAACGAGGGACACACAAGCTCGTTATAAACGCTGCCGTTTCTCGGTCTGAGGAGGTATTTGCGGCTGCCAAAGCAAAGTGAGCGTTGAAATGCAAGAGGAATTTGGTGCCTTTTCTTAAATAACAACAACAACAATAATAACAATAAAATGGAACAAAAAAAATCCACACACTTGTTACTCTCATTTTTATTGAAATGCCTTAACTTCCTGAAGAAAAAGCGCCAATTCAGCAGATGTTGCAGCCAGGATAGCTAGGATTTTCTCTTTCTCTGTCCTTGTTCATGATTTTCTTTATATCTATCCCCCCTTCCCTATCTTTTACTGTGATTGGTTGAGGACCTGGGATCATGTGCTACATGAGGTCAAAGGGCACCTCCTGGTCCCTGGCCCCGCCCTGTCTGCTTCCTCATTATTTATTTATACTGCCCACTTGGTGGCAGTTTGTGAGGAAATATGTAATATAACGACCAACTCTTTTAATGTCTATTTTGTAAATAGTGTTCACATTACACATTTGTTACCTGAAGCGGTTGTTTTGGTTTTTTTCATTGGTTAGGGAGGAAAGAAAACAGTCACTGTTATCATAGTGTAACAGACAGTATCGATCCAACCATCAAGACTAAATATGAAGTATGAAAGTATTATGTAATAAGTACAGTGTATTTTGTTTTATGGTTCTGTACATTTTTAAGAAATTCCGCCATTTTTAGCTCACTCATTGCGACCTTTGTCAAAACAGTTCTGTAAAGAGAGGTGATCACAGGCACATCTACACTACATCATTTTACACCCCCTCATGAAAAAGGGAATTGAATGGATGTATACAACTTGTCAAATAAAGAAATGACTCTGCATGCCAAAACACCCGTGGAAGACGTGGCGCGTCTGTGTCGGGCCCCGCCAGCGAGCGCGGACAGCTGACGTAGTGCCAACGCACAGTGCCAGCTGAGGAGCCGCCGTCTCGCACCAACCGGAAACGCACCAACCCAAAGGAGACGTGGGAGCTCCCGTGGGCACGACGCCCATGCTTCTCCCCGGTCCTGCCGGCCTGGGACTCCCGTGCGCCTCATCGCGTTGGTCAACGACAGCCTCAACGGGCAAACTTTATCAAAGCTTTCCGCCGTCGGAGGAGGCAGGACTGGCAAACGTCCGAACTCAGACCCGCTGATGCCGCAGTCTCCACATCTGTCTGTGAGTTATATTTGGACCGTCTAACATCCTGTTTCCTCGCCCGTTCTCTCACAGTCGTCTCGACAGACGATCTCCACGCGGTTGTAGTTAAATGAGGACTGATGTTCCCCCAGCCACTTTTTTAAGTAAAGAATGTGATGAGATGGATGGATGTGTCTCTCAGACGTGCAGTTAGAGATGACTAAAGACCTCTTTGCTGAAGCAAGTTCCCTTTTTGTAAGAGTTTGTTGCAGCTGGATACAGCAACACAATCAATAAAAATTATTCATGCTCCAACAACGGAAGCGCGACTATTTAGAGGAATGTAAACTGTCATATTACATGAGAAGTAGGAGCAGTGACAAAGATGGACTCTGTCATTTTGACCGTGTACTGGAAGATATACTTGTATAATATGAATAATTCACCATTGAAAATAGCTTTATTGTTGTGCCCATGCTATTTTGCTATTTAGTAAATATGTATATTTATTGATATTTCATATGTTGTGTATACTGGTATTAGTGATCTATGATTGTTGAGACTTAAAGAGTAATTGTATATTTTTTGACTTTGGAAAGAGAGGTCTGTTTTTCCACGTCGTCTCCTACCACTGCTCGGGTGTTCAGTCTCCATGCAATGTGGTTGGATTTTGAATATGTGACCATCTTTTACCATATATTTTCAGTATATAAAATCTTTGGTTATATTAAAACACAGCCATTCAAAATGATCAAAGCACATTCCTCGATGTCTGTTCATTCAAATGCTTTCTTGTAGAATGTGTAGAATATATATAGATATATGCTATATATACATATATATTTACACATACACATATGTACTGAATTGCACAGTTGAGTAATCTATTACTGTGAATATCCTTACTGAAAAATCCTTGTTCCCTTTTCTTTATTTCATGTGATTTTTATGATTGCATTGTGTGCAGTGTTCCTCTGGTGAAATGGTGAAAAACCAGTTCGGATCTTAAAGGGAACGTTCTTGTTATTTAAATAATTTTAGGGTGTACACTCAAAACCTTTTTGTAAATGATTCTCATTGTAGTCACTTTCCTGATTTTTTTTCTTCTTCTTCAAGGCAATGGTCCTCTAGTTTCTTCTGAAACTCAACACATGTATTCAGTTACAATACACAGAGAGGGGTCAAGCTTTCAGAATGAGAGATCTCCAGGTTTCAGTGGTTTGGATGACCTGAATGGAGCTGTCCAGGAAATTGCTGATGCATTAATGTCCTACAAAGACTGCTCTTGTCGCTGCAATACAATGTATGGTGACTAGGTAGCTTGGCAACTTTGGGGAGCGGATGAGCTGTTGCTTGTAGGTTTTTCAGGGAAACAGACCATACAACTTCTACAAACTGACGCTGCTTCAAATCCAGCTAATGCGAGGGACTTCTGACAATTTATAGCAATATAGTTTAATAGTTCTTGTTTTGGGTTTTTTTTTTCCTCAAACTCATTTACAGGTTTTACACCTTTCAGATGTGAACTCAGAGCCGTGGTCTTGCAAAGGGGTCGTTAGTCAAGACTTACGGCTCCATCGCCATCCCACACGCTTGGTGTTGCAGTTGTATGAGCCAGTGTTTCCAAACCTGGTCCTCGGGGGGGCTCCAGACGGTTCACATTTTTGCTCCCTATCAGGAAAAAAAACATGGTCGTAGGTCTTGAATAATGACCCCTTTGCAAGACGTATCAGGAAGCAGAAGTATGGGCTACTTGGGGGGCCCTGGGAGCCAGTTCGATAAACACTGGTTAAACTTTTGCTTTTACCTCATATTGTTAGGCTGGGAAGAAGTTTTCCATTGGCGTGGCAGGAAGCGTGTACCTGGTTTCCTTTATGGATTTGTACTGCGTTCTGATGCGAGCTGTCACGGCTTTGAGAGACCTGCCTCATTTTCATTTCAAAAAGGCGAGTTAAGAGACGAACGTGCCAAGTGGCGGTCCTTGGTTTTACCCAACGACAGAGAGCGGTCATGACATATGTCTCATGCCGTTGGAACAGCTTGGGGACGCATAACCTGTCCCTTCCTCGCAGCCAGTCTCATGGAAATAAGGTGATCGGTAAAAATGAAACGGCAACTGACAAATTATTCGTAATGATGAATCAGTCCATCTCTGTAGAATTATTTTTTTTTTACAATACTACTTGAGGAAAACGTTCCTTTTATGGTAAAAACGCTACCTTAAATCAAAAGGATGTTAAATACTAAATGAAAATGTTGAATTATGTCACGATGATATCATGTTGAATGAACTGTACTTCTGAGGGCGGAGTCTCCGAAAGCTTTAACGAGCGTGGAGTCTTGTGTGTGTCACCATCCCTCGTGCGCAAAGGGGCCGCGCGTCTCTCCGGCTGTAACGGGCATCGTTTAGCTTATAGCCTCAAAGTGAATCGTGACCCGTGCGGCGGACACACCCACGACCCAATGCTCTCCTTCACCACAGACGCAACAGGCACAGTTTAAACCTCGTCGTTTTTTTCTTTTAATCCCTCTGTTCTGATGTGCCTAGGGCAAGCAATACAGCACTTGAGATCTGCCCGCTTTCAAATACGACAATGGCAGGGGTTATTGTACAGAAATAGTGTTACATTATGCATTAATACACTAGCAGTAATAAGGATATGTTGCATTTCGCACTTTCTTCTAACCTCTCCCAACCCTGTTTACTAGTACATCCCCCTTTCTAGCTTTCAGGGGGTGTTTGAGATGCTGAGAGGTCACCCCCTCCCCTAGCCCCCCACCCCTGTGCTCGCTGTAGAGTTCACCTGAGTCTGTACAGACTTACGGACTATTGGTGATCTTGTGGTAGAGTGACCAGCCTTTTCTATATCACAGCGTTGACGGTCTCTCTCGTTACCATGTCTGCAGCACTTTTTCTTGTCATTTTGACTTTTCCCACACTGAGGTTAAACATCACCGCCCCTTTTCTCCCCAGTGTAATATAAACTGATATGGCACTTTCAAAGCCAGTTTCACAATAAGGGCAACAGGGCACACTTCTGTCCTGTTGTTTTATTTTTCTTTCAAACAAGGATAAAGCAGAACAGCTGAGATGTTTCATTCGGGTTTTGTGTTGCTTGGAACTGATCGACTTTTGTATAAGAACACATTTGGTGGATATAGCAAGCTGTTGAGTGCTCTGTTATGTTCAAGTGTGTCCTTTACAGTGGATTTATGACCTGTAACGTGTTGTACAAAATGTTCATTTTTGTCATTTTCTTTGCTTTTTTTTATTTATTCTGTTTGAAAGAAACCAATGTGAGATTCTCCTTGAGAAAAAGAAATCTTGTAACTTTTACCAGTCTTGGTTCTATCTCTTCAGCGTTTCAGAGTATTTTTTATCATGTTATAACATTTGTCTTTGTGTAAATAAATGACATTGTTTCTGCTGAGACAATAGGCTCCTGTGATTGTAAACGCTCATATGGTTAGAAAAGCCCCCCCCCCCCGAGAGTCAGAATGGATAAAAGACACAACGTCCAGCTTTAATATTGAGCCTCAAAGCAGTGGGGAAGCAAAGGCAGTAATACGGACAACAAGAAAAGAATTTCATAGAGAACAGCACTCCCACCCGAGGATGGCCTGTTTGGCTTTACATCTCGATGAGGCAGGAGTGTTGAATGGTTAACTGAAGGAGAGAAATGTCTGACAATGCCCTAAGTAGTAGCAGGTGAACAAAATGGCCAAGCAGATATCAGCGATCATTTGCAATGCCCTATGCATGATTCCTGACAAACCCCGAGTCCAGCTCAGGACGGCTTTCTCCTTAGGCACAGTGTCCGTTCCCTGCCTTGCAGCACATCTTCTCAATAATGTCCATCCCATTCTGCCTAAACACAGTTAGTCCTTCTTCTTCTTAGCAGTTAGATGGTGGACCAGGCCAGGCACGAAGACCATGACTACCTGGGGCACCAGGGTGAATCTGATGAAGATGAGGCTATAGAAGAGCAGGGGAGGTGATGTAGGCAGGGCGACTCTGTTCATGTGGTAGAGGGCCATGGAAGATAGGGCGACGCAGAGCGCTCGCGGTGTCCAGGGGAGGCTCCACCCGCCGGGCTTCCAGTACTGAGCCAGTCCGAGGCCCAGCATGCTACCACAGTCCCGGGTCAGGGACGAGAACGGGGCCGTGTCCAAGCGGATCCAAGCAAGGTGCGAGCACCATTTCATAGCTAGCGCAATGGACCTGCAAAGGAACACGAAACTGGCATGATTTCACAGTGCCAGCAGAGGGCACCGTAAGTGCGGCTCCCTCTGCAGCACCTTGGATTGAATCGTGATCTTTATGACTATGAATAACTGGGTTACATTTAGCTGGCCGTTTAAATGAAGCAGTCCAAAATGCGTACACAACTCAAGGGTCCAACGGGTTTTCCCAGCAACCTAAAAAAACTTCCCTACTTGTACTCCGGAGGGTTACCACAAGCCCACCTGAAGCAGTGCTTAAGCCTTCTGCCTCTCAGAAAAAGTGTTCTCATTCACTTGAGAGAGAAAAAAAAAAAAGTTAACGGCAAAGTTCAAGACCGTGACGAAATGATGATGAATTTATGAATAAATTTATCGACAACACAAAATCGAAAGGCTCTCTCACTCTACCAGGGACTGCCAACATGACGCCTCTGAATTACCCGTCACTGAGTCTACTGTAGGTAGATGAGTAGGTCACAAAAATGGAAATGGTATGAACTATTAATCACATGAATATAATTATGATTTTAGTCATTTTCACAGCATCACTTCCCTACTTGGGGACACACTCTAATATGCCAAACATGTGAACCATTATCCCATCAAAGCTAAGCTGTTGTGCATAACTCCAGCTCTCATTCTTATACATACTACTAATTCAATAGATCTGCCTAAACAAATCCCACTACAACAGCCTGCAGAACATATAAATAAGTTAAAAGTGGGTGTAAAACCCATTTGGCATAAAAAACGTAGTTTTGTGTACAGCGTTATCCATGCTGGGAAGAAGTAAACACAGGAGATCTATTCAGTCTAGGCACACAAGATCAGGAGGCTTGAAAATAACAGAAAACTGTCCTGCACTGTTACAAATGACCTGTCAGCCTTTTAAGGAAAGCTCTGGGTGGACGGAGAAAGCACATCTCCATGGATTTGTGACGGCCGTATTGGTTTCTGGCTGAATTCCTTCTAAATTCAAACTGAACTCTGTTGTGAATCGATGCGTCCATATCGCAGACACTTGGACTAGATTTCCAATTTAGATCAGCTGTTTGTCACACCCCTAAAAAGCAGCACAACAAAGCTAATTAAGCTAGTGGAGTATCGACTGTGTTCCTCCACCGGCCGGCACCTTCAGGTGTGTTACTCTGCTGTATAAAACGTAAGCATGTTTGCGAGCAAACTGCGTGTAACCCAACAGAATATTGCATCATACGAATGTCTTTTCCCCTTATAATCAACTGCATATGAGCTAATTCATGTTTTGGAAGCAAAGATAATGCTAGAAATGCCTGTATATTCAATCTGACATGTACACCTGAGGGCCAGCATTGTGGCTGCCACCCACCTCTTAGCATGCAGCTTCGAACCCAGTGTTGTGTGAATTTAACAACTAACACCTATATCTCAAGTGTCAATGAGGAGGAGCGAACCTGCCAACTGCTGGCAATACAAGGCAAACACGCTTCCTGAATACGACAATGCTACCCTGTTGGCTCTTCAAAAATCAAAATGAGTCAAACTACATCCATGACTTTGCATAACTACATAATACGCATCATGGCACAGGACGGCAAATGGGAAAAAAAAAATCTTACTTCCCGCTCTAACCTTGACAGTCCTTAACCTAGTATGAAAAGTATTGTTTTAGAAAATAAGTCTCATTTTGTGACTCTGTAAGGTTTCAGCTATGAGTAATCTGCCAATAAATACAGGCCTTTAACTAAGAACTGAGGGTGTATTTTACCGCTAATGACCAACATGATTTTAGCCCATATTATTCTCAGCCTGGATTGTAAGAAATGCTTAAAATCCACAAATGTCCTGTGATTATTTACTTTAGTAAATCCCAAACACCATTAATGTTATGTCAGTTCTATTGCATAGTTTTACATTTATAAAATTAGCCCTGAGCTGTATTGACCCTTGGAGTTGATCAGTCTGAACTCCCTGGTATCTGTTTGTGTTCCTCTAACTTCACGTGACCTTTTAGCACCAGCAATGAAAACATGAAGATGAAGACAGGCTGACAAGGCGGCGTGCTTCACCTGCTCAGGCAAACGTGTAAGAGGACAAGGCACCCAAACACAGTGTTACAGCCCCGACTCCGCAAACCCCCCCCCCGTGCCTGTTTAGGTGGGACTCACCAGGACAGGTTGATGCCAAAGTACTCCAGCCCTGTGTACAGAAGCAGGGAACCCAGCAGCAGACCCATGCTGACATGAAAGAAGAACCGCAGGGGGCGCCCTTCCGGGACCACGCGGTTCAGGAACACTCCTATCGTGATGCCTGTCATTAAATGAGGGGACAGCAACACTCATATGGAAATACCCACCTCTAAGGCATGTGGCAGCCATACACCATCCATAATAATTCACACACATTGCAGAGGGTTGTCATAAGCCCCGCTGACAAGACACTTGACGTCAATATTAGTATCCTGCTTGTGTTTCTGCTCGTCTACAGCAGGGGTGCCCAATCTTACCCAGAAAGGGTCACTGTGTATGTGGGTTTTAATTAGATTACTAATTAGAGGACTGATAGGCTGTAGAGTCCTCACACCTGGGTTTAAACATCTGGCCTACAGGTTATCCCAAAAACCTGCACACACAGCGGCCCTTTGTGGATAAGACTGGCCAGCTCTGGGCTACAGAAAGGAAATGTTTCCAAACTCCAGATGTAACTAAACTTTGCTGGGGTTCTCTGTCTGCCCGTTGGACGTGATACGTCAGTGTTCAGAGGAGACAGAGCAGTGACCTGTCAGGCTCCCAGCGATGACCTGATGAGGGAAATGAGCCAGGGTGAAGACCCTGGAGATGCCGACGGCCACCAGCACCACCACGTACAGCAGGTAGGGGGCAGCCCTCAGCAGGACGCTAGGATGGAGACACGCAGTGAGCATCTACAACGAGCAGAAGATACACAGGCAGCCACCATGTTCCTTCACCTTTAACACGTGGAAACCTTTTCTGTACTGACTGTAACATGAACGGTCTATGGGTCCTAAAGTCTAGGAGACGTGTTTTTCAGCTAACAATAATTCATTAGATGAGTTTTTAGGGGAGAAAGGCATTTGTGAACTGGCGTAACAGAGGCCTGGAAACAGACCTACGTGTGTGCAGGTACAGGAAGGAGGCAAGAGTGGAGGCCATGACCCAGCATACGGCGGACGTCACCATGGCGTGACCAGACGGGCTGCCTGTGTGGAGAGACAAACACACGCTGGCCCCTCTCGCTACAGCGGGAGCTGACAATCAGCGGCGCTGAGATGCCATACCAGTGTCCGGTTTGTGTCCCGTTTAACCCGAACTCAGCTTCACCCACCTGGCCCCGTTTCACAGGTGGTAGAGAACTGCCGCACCTGGGGGGGGTTCTTCCCAAACAGACGGGATTCCCCTATCCACCAAAAAGGTCTCTCCCCAAACAGCACCCTATTATTAGACATAAATAAACAACACGCTCAGCAAAATGCAAAAGCACCTGCGCAAAGATATAGGCCAGGGCTATTCAACTCAGGCCCTCGATTCCAAATCCAGCCCTTACTTTCAGTTCTCCCAGGTAGTTAGTTTAATAATTACTGATTCTGATTGGTCAGAGGCTTCACACCTGGTTCACAGGTGAAGGAAGGCTGGAAAATCAGCAGGGCTCGGCCCTTGAGGACCGTGATTTGAATAACCCTGATATAGGCCATCAATGCAGCTCATTTGATCATTTTCTTGTAAAATATAAAAGCATTAAGCAGAATAACTGACAACAAAAAGATCATTCTAATATGAAGAAGAGCTAACGTACATCAAACACATGCGTCAAGCGGAATTATATCACTGTACTGCAGCTGATTTTCTCTCTCCAGCCTCATTCTGCCAGTAATCAGGCGGTATCAGGAGGCGGGAGTCTCTCGTACCATTTAAACATGAGGTTCAGCCATTCCGAGATGGCTGCTACCCAGAGAACAGCCACGCCAGTCCGCCGGCTGAGGTAGTAGGTCACGGGGAAGCAGAGGAGGAAGGCAGCTTTCGGGTCACCCATGTGCGTGACAAACAGCCACACGTCTTCGTAGTCGGCCAGCGTCTTCTGAAGGGCCTCGGCCATCCAGATGCCCTGGGTGTGTACTGACTGCATCCCGGAAGGCCGGCGGTGGACTGTTAGCGCAGTGGACTGTTAGCGCGGCAGGCTGCAACTTCCCTACAAAAGCCAGCAATGATGCCAAAGTAACCAGCCAGGGACAGACCACAGAAGTCCAGTCGAGGCCAGTGATCAACTTGGAAAATAAGTAGTGTAAATCAAAAGTAAAACATTTTCAAAGATCAATAAAAGGTTACTTTGGCTTGCCCTTTGTTACTTCCTTATTGCTTTTACTTTGCATGGCAGATTCATATGTTTATATTGAACTCATTATTATTATAATTATAATAATTTTAGAATGCAGTGCAACATGGGCCTTTAGGACATGGAAGAATTCATAAGGCTCTCATTAATATAAGCTACAACAGCAGCATATACCATTGACTTTAAGTCTTTAGTATGCTCGTTGTTTATACCCTACTAAAGCTGCCGAATCATCTATTCACTTTATTTGGACAATGTGATGACTCCAGAAACATTTCTGCGAGCGGAAGCATTGTATTACAGATTAAAGGTCAGCAGCGTTACTAGACATTTATTAAAAGGACATTTATTAAACATTATTTAAACTAATTAGTGCACATTTATTTGGAGGCGAGGGTTTTACGCACTCCGTAAAACAGCCTGCGTGCACAAGAAGGTCGCTTAGCGACAGGCCCAAGCTGACATGCAAAAAGAACCGCAGGGGGCGCTCTTCCGGGACACCTGCTGAAGGTTGTTGAACTTGTATCAAGAGCTGCTTGGGAGACCCGTAAATATTTCTTCACAATACACATATTAATACCATAATGAGTGATGGTCATAAACAGTCAATTACACAACAACAGAGCGATACGGGGCGGGGGAACAAAATAATAGATTATGTGTGCATCAGATACGTGCGTTAATACATAAGGTTCCCAAGAAGCAGTTTTTTGCCCGCACAAGCGCAAACATCAAACTGCCGTCATGACTCATATAGATACCCTGCGAGTATGTGCCACAGCTGATAATCTGCCCGGTCTGTGGATGCCTACTCATTTCGATAACTACTTTTTAAAATAACTTTTATTTTGTTAAAAACTCATACAAAGTGGCTATCGGCAATACTGAGACGAGACGCTTCTGCCTTAACTGCGTGTAGGCTTAGAAGAGAGTAGGATCGTGTTACCTGCCCGTTGCCTACCTAAAAGGTGATGTACACGGAAGCAAAACAGTGCTTTTCTCTTTTGATTGCGCACAAACCACAGATCCGGCAAGGTGAAAAACAACACAACTCACGCAGCAAAATAAAGATGATATTTTCTCGGCTTTCACTTTGTCTTATTTCAATCACAGCCCAGAATGCCTAGATTAATTTCATCTATGTTTAGCCAGGGCACTGCGTTTCCCTTTATGGTAACAGCAAGCGAAGAGGGACAAACTTAACAAAGTGACAGAACTTAAATTCTACTTAGCCGCTTTTTGCTGCGTGGACTCCTGGTGCCACTTTACCAAGCTGAAATGGGAACACTAGCATCGGAAGACGGGGAATACAGTGATCACGAATATAAGTCACGGCGAAAAACATCTTGTAACTACAGCCAGCAGACTAGGCTTATATTGTTAATGTCAAAATCAAAAAGTGCTCTTAGAATAGCAATAACAAGTGTATTTAAATTACGCTACATTTGATCGCTCGGGGATGAAAACGCGAATGTAGCGCGGTTTTGTGATATTTATATAATTTGCATCCGCTGTTTATCGTAGGGAAAATAACCTCTGCCCGGGACAGCCTCAATAATTTATTTTAAGAAACCAACATTTGATACCAATCCCATCTAATGTGAGTACATTTTTTATTAATGTCAAGAAGGGCGGCATAATGACTCAGCGGGTAGTCCCCCATCACCTCACACTTGGCTTTGATTCGATTCTCACCTCTGTATAATTGGAGTGTGTGTCCTCCCCACGTTCATGACGGTGCTCACACCTTTCATGCACATGCTATTCAGCCTTGGAGACTATGAATTATTTGTAGTGTGAATGTATCTGTGCGGCAGTGACCTAAAGTAAATTGGCATCCTACCTTGGGTGCAGCTCCAGGTCAGCATGACTGTAACTGGATAAGTGGTTTTCGAAAATAGATGGATAAATGTGATGAAAGGAATTGCCACAAAGAATGTCCTAAGATGCTATAAATGAACGTAAAATGCAGTAGGTTTTCCAAAGTTGAAAATAAGATTAGACATGATTGATTGGAATTCTCAGTCTTAAGTTCCATGTCTTTCATATGTAGGGAACAATGTAAAGTTCATAAAATTATTGCCATACACCTCATGCTACTTTAATAGAATAAGTGCAAGTACATTGTTTGTGATTGTCCATTTATTCAGTACATAGTCACAATAACCCTGGTACCTGAAATATCAGCAAGCACGAGGGCACAAAGGGATTACACTGGAGAGTATTCTATTTGATCACAGCGCACAGAATCACACATACTAGACTATGGGAAAACATATGGGATACCTCAAGGAACTTGTGTAAACATGGGGAGGACATACAAACTGCACGCAGACACACAGAAACCGCACGCAGAGACACAGAAACCGCACGCAGACACACACAAACCACACGCAGACACACACAAACCACACGCAGACACACACAAACCACATGCAGACACACACAAACAGCATGCTGAAACCTAGAAGTGTCACACTAAAGTGTCACCCACTGTGCCACTAAGGTATGCATTATATGCTGTGCTGGGGAAGTTACTCACATAAGTAATCCATTACAGGCAGAGGTGGAAAGTTCAGGTCCAGAAAGTAGAAACCAAAGTTTTGTTTAAACCAACCAGTTGAGTACTCTGTGACTATGACTTTTTATATACAAATGGTTGGTTGAAACAAAACCTTGGTCTGGATTTCTGCTTTCTGGACCTGAACTTTCCAGCTCTATCTTTAATGGAGTACTTTTGTTAGTAACTTCCCCAACACTGACCATATATCATATGATAGACACATTCTTTTCTAATGTTGAATCTATTAAATCTTTAAATGCTTTCTTATCATCATGTCATGGTTTGCACCCTGTGTGCGATATGAGGGGGACCAGGGGTTCCCAATCCCTCATTCAGCACATTTAATCTTCCCCATCCTAGTGGACAGTGTACTTTGGCTTTGTGTTGCTGATGAAGTTTGGCTGTAGGAGAAAAATAGTTGGGACCTGATGTAGATAGATGAATATACTAGGTAATAATACAATTTCACAACTATGAGACTACCACACACTGGCACACGTACAAAACGTTAAACAGCAAAAGTGAAAGGTTAGAGATTTTTAGAATACTCAATGGCCCAGTCACTATGAAGGCATCCAACCTTGAAAGCAGCAAGTCCATTAGGTTTGCTTGAGATCACAGTATGCCCCGTAGCTTGTTGCACAATTAATAATGCGAGTTGTTTAGTTGCTTGGAAAATTACATGCAATATTTATTGTCAAAAATAAGTCACGTGGTAAAGCAAGAATATTACCAGAGCTGTAATAAGAAAATTGGACTTGCTCTCCATCAGTGACTCACTTTATATTTTGAATTATTACAAATTTTATAACTGAGTGAAATGCCTTTATTCTTTTTCTGTTGCAAAAGAAAATGCATGAAACTGGTACAAATATTTTTGATGCCAATGCTAAACAAAGGCATTCAACTTTAAATAATAACGAAAATATCCTATTAGGCAAACTAACTCCGAATTTCTTTTCAATTACGGTGTTGCTGCCTAGCCAGCATGTCTGGAAGCACGGTCCACTGGAGCAGTGAAGCGCTCGGTTCATTCAGAAATAAAGCGTCTGCCTCGCTTACCAACCAAGCCCGAAGTAACGGTTTAAGTCTTACAACCAATGAGAATACGCGTTCGTATGTCACAGACACGCCCCATTCGCGTCCCAGTGACGTCGGCGCGTAAGTTTACGTAAAGCTGGCGCTCCGGTTTCCTGGCGGAGAAAATGGCGGCTCCTGGACCGGGGGAGTATTTCAGCGTTGGGAGCCAAGTCTCCTGTCTCACCTGCTTAGGGCAGCGCTTGCAAGGGGAGGTCGTGGCCTTTGACTATCAGTCCAAGATGTTGACTTTGAGTATCCTTTTTACGATCTAGTTTGACGCTGTCTCGTTGGTCTTTTTTCGGGTACGAGGGGCCTGCGGGGTAACCGGCCAAAGCTTGCCAAATAGTGATCCGCGCAGGCGTAGTTAGGATACTAGCTACCAAGGTGCCGATGTGCGTCCTTGTAGATTTCGTTCGCTAACTCTATTTTGGCCTACTGCTGGCGAAGGAAAGTGTCCTTTTACGGTGACTTGATGTCGCTGGGTCCGGGAGACGAGCTTCGGAGCTGTGTCTGTCAATGCTGTGTGTTGCGATGAAACAAGCATTGTGGTCAGTCCCGCTGCGGATCGCTATTTGGCAACTCAAAGGGGCATCATGGCTGACTACTCATACCTAGCTAGGTGCTGGTGTTTGTGGTTATTTTACGTGTTTGTGGTTATTTTGTATGTTTGTAAGGCTCCACAGACTGACGTTAGCACAGAAACGCACTTCCTAGCGCATAAGGAGCCTATCCGCTGGTGTTTTGTCAGCAGCGGTGGCCTCGTAGCAAGCCGGCAAGGCTCTTAATGAAATAGGTGGTATCTGTCACATGGCCTTTACCGGCAGTATGGTCATGCTTCACATACAGGGTCCAAAGAGGAAGCTCAGTTTGATCGTAATTCTTGGTGGGTTGCGGTTTTAGTTCAGCTGTTGTGGGAAGGATTCAAAGTTCTTACCTGCTGCCGCTGCAGTCCTATAACTAATTAGTGTAGTGTGTTCCTAAATAGCTGGGAGAGGCGATAGCTGCATCATTTCTATGTATAATCAGAGACATTCGTTTGCCTGTGTTAACCTTGAAACTGGATAGTTAGCGTGTGTGTATTAGTATATACCACTGAAGGCCGCATAGAAGTAACTGACTGTATATTTACGGTTATTGCTAAGTGCGGTTCAGCTAATCTGTGTCGGCTAAATTACAAGCCGGTTTTGCCGTTGGCGCTGTGCGACGCCTTGTGTTGCTGGGTGTCGCTCGGCGTTGCAGTGTGACCTAGCGGACGAGACTGCGCAGGAATCCCGGCATCAGCCCCGTCAAACCCAGCGATTTAGGCGAGCCGTGTCTTTGCAGCCCACTCCCCCCGTGTTGGAGTATCGCAGCCTGTCATTCTAACGTTAGTTGTCTGATCGGCATCAATGGCATGAGGTATATGTAAAGCCTAGAAATTTAGCTTTAAAGTCAAATAAGAAAATGAAAGTGTACAGTTAGAACGGTCGGGCTAGTATGTGTGTGTGTATATATATATATATATATAGTATGTGTAGTTGAGGAAAGCAGGTTCCTCATTCATGGATTCGTTTTTGTGTTGTATGGGCATTTTCATGCATTTCTCTGTGGTGGTATTTTGCCCATTCGTTGCAAAGTATGAGACTGCTTTGTTTGCATGCTGCAGTATATAAGAAACCTTATCCGTCTTGCTAAAGGAAAAATCACTTTTCATGGGTGTCTTTATTTATATTTGTCAGTAGATGAACTGTAGGTATACTCTTATTAATTTTAGTGCTGATTAAAATGGGGGGGGGGGGCAGCATATGAAACTTTTATTTGCCTGCTGCCTTGTGTGCACATGAAGATGGTGTGCCCACCCCATAGAAAAGAGTGATTTAGTCCTTATGTTTGTGTTTTTGGGAGGGGCCTATTGGCAGGTTGGACTGCTTAAAATGTTGTTGAATTTATATAAAGTAAACTATCTGAGGAACATTTATCCACATTTTGATCCTTTATGCTTTATTGATGCGACATTGGAATGGGCTCAGCATCTTCATGTCTGGTGCTGCTGGCTTGGTTTCTGCTGCTTGGCAGGTCAGACCCTCTGGATGCTCTGCTGTGGCTCGTTCATGCCCCGCCCTGCTAACTGGGCAGCCCATCTTCTCTGCTTTCAGTCAGCAATGCTGGAAATTTGACTATTTACACTAAAGGTGTGGTGCTCATAATGAGAGGAGGAGGACGAATTACAGCACTAAGTGGGTAGTGGCCTTGCCTTGGTGACCACCTTCTGCTTTCTCGGTAAACGTTTCTCCCTTTGGGTGTGCGGATCTTGACTTCTGGCCTTTGGGTGACCACTCCTGGAATTGCAAGAGAATTGCTCACTATATGAAATCGGAATCATCATGTTCACTGCAGGGTACGGCTGGTTTCCTCATAGGCACTTGATTAAGGGGGTCTGAGGAGTTGCCAATCCACTGTTTCCTTCTGTCTTCGGGATGTCTTTAGTATACGTTCAGTGTATAAGGACAGTTTGGGTTTTTTCTCTTTTATTACTCTTGTTGTTATGCATTGTCTTATAGGATGATTTTAGTGGCAGTTTGGATTTGTTGGATTGTGTCTTGTCTTAAGAGTTGGATTGAAGACCAAATGGCTGCTATATACGGTGTCTTATTTTTGTAGCGTAATATCGAAATCGGGTTTAGCAGTTAAAATGGGCTCCTTTTCTTGCCAAGATGAACCCATTTGGCTGATTTTTTTTTTTTTATGCCGTCTTTCGTGAAGAGCGTTAATCTCTGAAGTTTCCTTGGCTACAATCTGGCATGCTACTAATGGCGTTTGTGTGCGAAAGATGTGATGTGCTAAAAGACCTCTACCTTGAGTAGGCTAGTGAAGAGCTTTTGTTTCTTGATTGCCCTTCAAAAGTTAAGCACCTTATCAACCAGCTTTTTCTAGGGCTCTGAGTGGCCAACCTGGATGATTTAAAAGGGGAAAATTTGTTTTGAGAGTTTTCATGATAGAATAGGACGTTGTTTTTTTTTTGATGGGCTGATGCATTAATTTTCTGCCTCTGTTTACCCTGTGTGTTTGATTACTCTCTAGATGCTGTAGTAGTGTGGCTGGCTGTGTATCTGTGTGTATGTATGTGGGATGCTGCCCCCTGCCTGTAGTGTCATTTCAACGGCGTGCTTGGCTTTCAACCTGCCCCCCCCCCCCCATATAGCTAATAGCTAAGCAGTTTTGTTGTTGCTCTTTCTCCTTGACTCCTGTTCCTCCTCCCAGAATGTGCTTCTTCCAGCGGAAAGCCAAACCTCTACGACGTAGTCCTGATTAACCTAGCCTATGTTTCGGAAGTGGAAATAATAAGTGACCGGACAGAAACTCCCCCGCCCCTAGCATCATTGAATGTTGGCAAGGTAAGACATTCCTCAGGTTTGTAACCAACCTGTTCTGTAAAAGAGGGGCAATTTAGTAATTTTCATCTGATTTCTGCAGCTTGCAAATCGAGCACGGATGGAGAAGGAAGACAAATTGTCCCAAGCTTATGCAATTAGTGCTGGAGTTTCTCTGGAGGGTCAGCAGCTCTTCCAAACTATACATAAAACGTAAGTGTTTCCAGCTGCCTTTTGTCTTAGTCTTCATTGGAAACTATAGTCTGCTTCGTTGATGTTAGCTCTCAGTTGAAGGTCGCCAAATCTAGCTACTGTTCTTAACTCACTGGCAGTGATCTATACAGGGGGTCAAAGCACATGGACGCTGATTTTTTTCGGACACCTGTGTAAATGCCACTGTCCCTTTTTTTTTTTTGTCCCCCCTCGTTCCAGCATCAAAGACTGTAAATGGCAGGAGAAGAACATCATTGTGATGGATGATGTCGTTATCTCACCGCCTTACCAGGTCGACAACTGCAAAGGCAAAGAGGGAAGCGCTTTAAGTCATGTACGCAAAATCGTAAGTGCCTGATGACTTTCATTGCAATGAGACACGTTTGCGATCCTTTAAGTTTTTGAATTTAAGTTAATTAGTAGTTGGTAAATATAATTGCGTGGCAAATAATGTCGCCTTGTGTCCAATTATGCAAAATATGGGCTTTTCAATCAAAGTCCTGACATGTGACAAATGTGGCTTTCTCAGTCTCTTCCAGAAAATGCTGGCTTAAGAAATGTATGAATGTTCGACGATTAGTAATTGAACAGGTAGCTAGTTTAGTGGAACTCGCTAAACATCGGTGAGTCTAAGTCACCAGCTCAAGGAAATGGGGCTTTAGCTCAGCCCATTAAACCTCTTGCTTGGTGTATTGCGACTTTGTGGGTTCCAGGACTGGCTCACGCACCGGCTCTTGCATTTGGGTGGTGAAGTACCTTGCTAAGAATTGGCAGCTCTGTACAGGTGACGCTGCTGCACCTACGCATTAACATATGACACTGATGCTTTTGCACTATGCACACACTTTGTTGTTGCAGACGATGGTTGGCTGGGTGAGTTAAAGAGCAGGGAATGTGTTGCCCTTGGGCATCCACACTGGTCAAGGTCCTTGTTAGAGTGACATTAAAAAGAAGCTCATGTTTGTGTGTGAAGGAATTGAGCTTTTCTTTTTTATTTTATTCTATTTTTTTGTTTACTGGGTGGTGGGTCTTGAAAGTAGACTGAAAATAAAGGTAATAGGTTTACGATCAGTGCTGAGGCAAAGCACAAAGTCAGTGGTAGTTGGGTTATGGAGGGGTCAGGCATTTTACTTGTGAGACCGAGTATGTTTATTGAAGGCAGGAGAGCAAAAACTTAGGAATGATGAACAGAATGAATGAGTGAGTGTCCCCATCACGGCTTTCTGCCCTGCCCCAAAATGTCCACAATATAGTGGTCTTGAGGTAGTGTACAAACCTTACTGCATTCATCAAGCTAAAATGTTATTGCTCCCTGTGAATAGGCTTTGCATTGCTGAGAGCTTTGGTGTAAAAGTTGTCACTAAGCACCTTCTGATGTCTTTCCTGTACCTTTACTTTTTTTGTACGTTAACTTTTTATATTTTTGTCCTCTTAGGTTGAGAAACACTTTAGAGATGTGGAAAGCCAGAAGTCCGTGCAGCGTTCACAAGCACAGCAAACACAGAAGGACTCCGCTTTATCATCCTGAGCTGGTGTAGCAACCTGGCAACCCAAGCAAGATGACAAAGGCAGTCCCCCCCCCAGTCCCCCTCCCATTTCCAGACAAGGCCGGCATTCCTCAGTCTCTGCCTGGGGCCGTAAGGATGGCCAGCGGTCTTGAAGACCGAAAACATTAAAAAGACAAAAAAAAACAGATAAAGTTAAATTCTCAAATTAGAATTTTAAAAGATAATTTAAAGAGAGAACAACCATAACGTTTAACTAACTTTGTTTGTCCTGCCCTGGCCTAAACGCCACCCTCCTGCCCGTTCTCTGCTCTCTCCCCCGCCCAGTCTTCAAAGAAAAGAAAGACCATTCAGAAATGTTAGCTATGTGTTCTTATCCATGTTCCGAAAATTTCTGTATTTTGAACAAAATGTGACTTGAAATACCACACTTGAAAAAGGACATTTTCTAAAATAAAAGTAACAGAAATTCTGACTGTAATACTGTAATTTTAAAAGCTTTTTTTGGGAAAAACAAAATGTTATTTTTTAGAACATTTACCACTGGTGAAGAGTGAAATAAATGATTACATAAAGTATCTTTCACTTGAAATTACACTTTAAAAGGAAAACGAGGGTTAGCTTTCGACGGCAAGTTTTTCTCCTGCAAGTTTGTTGAAGATCGAGGGAATATCAGTGAAATCTTTAGCTTCCTCTGCAGTTTGTCCACTTTCTCGAAGTCCTTTTGATAAACAGCTCTGGCCTTTTTTTTCTTTTCATTGTGTAATTTCAGTGCTTAATTTTGTCACTTTTGAGATTCTTTTTGATGAACTTTCAGAATCCCTTCTGTTGGATTGTCATGAGTGCAAGCGAGAATGATTCTCTTGTCCTTAGCGTAACCTCCTTGGTCGCATCTCCGTTCTTTTTTGGTACTGCCTTGTACAGGGTCTTCAACCCACTAAGAGGTTTTCTGGAAGCCAGGGGAACCAGCAGTTGGAGAAACAAAATGGTTTTAATAATACTGACCTTATGATGATACATTTTTTCCTTCTCCATCTGTTTTAAAATGGTCCCTTATTCGCCACTACAATACCTCCTAACAAAATGGGACCACACTTTTCTTATGTACATTTTTTAAGCCAATTAGGATGTTGTGCATTCTGCCCATTGGGCTACAACAGGCAGGTAAATCCCCCATGTTTTCCTTGTTTAACCGTATGGTTTTGACTTTGTTCGGGATTATTCTCAGCCAGATCTGTGTGTTTGGTTTGGAGAACATTCTGATTCCTTCCATAAAATTGTAGTCTATTTATGTTTGGGGCTTTCTGCCTCATCTGGGCTCAGCCATTGAGGTTTCAGCGACATGAGCTACCTGTACAGTCAGTCCAGCTATGTGGACAAGACTGGACCGTTTCCTACCCGATATTTTATTTTTATTTTTTAAAGTGACATCAGAATAAAGAGAAAGCAAAAATACTCTTTATTCCGGTTGTGCTTGATTTATGATCCTTGGTATTTAAACTGAGTTTGAATGAAATAAATTGCAACACTGATTCATAATCTCTACATTCACCTGCTTGAACACGTCGTCGTCAGCCGTATAATTCAACCTTCTGCTGATTGGTTTTCCCATAAACATGAAGTTATTCGAGTTTGGTCCCTAAACTGACATTTCCCCTCTGAACCAATTCATTAGTGTTACCCTAAATGCAGCGCTCTTTCTGCTGTGCTGTATGCATGTGCTGTAAGATATGAAAAGTTAGGGGGTGGATCAGAAATTATTATGCCTAGTTAAACCCATTGGATTAGTCGGAGCCGTTCAACGTCTGACGTGCATAAGAAAGCAGTAATATTGGCAGGTGAATTACAGACGGATCTCGCAGTCCTCGAAGGGCAGCTGTCTGTCCTGGGAACTGGAGATTGGCATCTGTCACCCAGTATCCATGGGCGCCTTTAGGGAAAAGCGGTGCTCTGTGTTTAAGGGGGGGGGGGGGTATTTTTCAATTTTCCGTTTTTAAATCGGAATATTCAGATCGTTGTTAGGGGAGCACCAAAGGCCGCCTGGATATTTTATAATGAATAAACATTTTAACACGAAGAGACTTTACGCAGTGATACCCGGTTTGTTTTGTATACGATTGTCTTAAAATTGCGTGCTGATCGTGTCAGACAGGTGCGCAAAACACCAGGATAATTCGCAAGAGCTTTAAATTTGATGACATACGGGGCAGTTATACAATTCAAATTCGGTAATTATACGACATTTGGAATGGGAATACTTACATGGTTGCCAAATCTAATCACACTGGCGTGAGCTGGGAAAATTAGTGCAGAATTAAGACAGGTTCCGGTATACGCTTTCAAACCACGAAGAGGGTAATTTCCTGCAATGGAGCGGTCAAGGTAACATTCCTCTCTATATATATGCTGTTCCTCGGTGATTTTTTTGCTGAACTTTACATTGTGAAAGTTGGATGTAACGATCGCATTACGTGTTGCATCTAAGCTGGTGAGAGGTAGAAATAATGACAGATATTGGATGTTGAGCCTGGTCCTGGAGACGACCATGAACAATGTATTCTTGACATGAAATTTTATTAAGCAATTCCATATAAAGTAAGTTTTATTAGCAAAGGTAACGACGAACGGTAATGTTGCTCATGTATTTCGTGTTTAAGATATTTTTATGATTGCTCCTGAGAACTAGGTTATGTATATGTTTGATCCTAATTATAACAGTTTAGTATGGCAACCCGTAAGCTAAATTACGTTAATTTACGACAGAAATGTATATATTTTTTGCTGCCCTTAATTTTTGTTTAAGAGCGAGATAATGTAAGTGTTTCACGTTAAATTATTTAAAATAAGGTACGTGCAGGAAGGGGCGGGGTTGGGCCGATTGACCCACTTTAGATATTCTGAGTGCCGAAATTTACCGAAAGGGACCAACCCCAGTAACCCCAAGTCTCTGCACGGCACTGTTTAAAGCTATATGAAAACTTAAAACCATTAAAAAGAGCTGGCTTGTGAGTTTTCAGTCACATAATACGAACTATCCAGCACTTTCATTCTTTCTGTTTTCTAAAAAATTCTTTATGGTTTCTAAAATCCTATTAATCTGGTATTATCTGACATATAGTTCTGAGCCAGATATTGGATGTTTTGTTATACTTTAAATAAGATCAGATGACTACATCAGTGCTAATTTCTGGGTATCCCACTCATGTGCGTTATCCTTAATTAATTAAGCAAACAAATAAACAATAGCTCTCTTCTCAGAGGTCTGCCCTGGTGAATGTCAGTGGACACCGTCCCACTTGGAGACCTGGGGATCTTATGATCATCCCTTGTTGTTATTCTCTGGAAATCCCGGTTCTCCCGTCATGCGTAGTCTTCTTCCCCTGATGGACCTGGTAGTTGCTCAGGCTGGATGCTCAGAGATGCCCTCATCTCCGCCTGTGTTATGACGCGTCGGACGTGGTGGACTGTTGCGGCTGTTGCTTTACTCATGTGCCCCACGGTGTCCCCCCTCGAACCTGACTCTTGGACTTGGGCGGCAACAGCATGACAATACTGCAAAGTCCTTCCTTCTCTGGGCTCTGGTCCCTCTGCATTCTGGTGATGTCTGACAGCGGCATTCAGATCCTCCAGTCACAAGTAAGCATGTGCCATGTTTTGTGGTGAGTGATGGCACCAACATTTGCTACCATTTTCTCAGGCACTGACCTGACTGGGCAGACATATGATAGATAGATAGATAGATAGATAGATAGATGATTCATCTATCTATCTATCCATCCATCCATCCATCCATCCATCATCTTCAGTCTTTTATCTTCCCATTCTGTTCCCGGCATTGTCCATTCTTTTTTTCCTGGAGAAGCTAGACTTGAGTCATAACAAACTATGCTGATTGCCCCCAGATTTCTTCATTGCGTGACCTACTTCTGGATCACAGCATGCTAGAGTCCCTGGACCTTCCCACCTTTGGGCAAATAGAAAGTCTGGAAAAGTTAGACCTGAGCTACAACCACATTGTGAGGGTGGAGCCACACACTCTTCAGTACCCCTTCTCTGTCTGCAGGCAAACCAACTGACGGTGCTCCAAGAGGGCATGTTCACCATGCTCCAGGGTCTTGAAGATCTACTGCTGGGTCACAACAACATCTCCTGTACTGACACAGAGACATTCAACTCCCTGTAAAGCCTGTCTCTCATAGGTCTGGAGAGCAACCAGTTGGAGCATCTGAAATTCAAGACTTTCCTCAACCCGCATACCCCCAACACCCACCTACAGCTGGCAGGCAACCCCTGGAACTGTGACTGCGATCTGCACCGCATCTTCAGCAAGATGCTGCGTGTGCGTCATCTGCACGTCAGCGACTACCGAAATATCACCTGCTTCTCCCCCGGATCACTGGCAGGGGCATCCTTGGCTGAAGTAGACAGTCGGCCATGCATGGCAGAGACTGCCACTGTGTTGATCGTCACCATCACCGTGCTGGTGACCATAGTTGCTGCACTGGCCATGGCTGAGTGCAATCGCAAGAGGATTTATGGGAAGGGGACCAATTAGCTCAATGGGCAATGCTGAACCAATCACAACCACCCCATAAGCTCCAATGGCTTCTTTTGTTCTGTAGTTTCCCAAATATTCTTTGGGCCAGACCCTTCTTGTCTTGAAAGCTGAGGTGTCCCTGGATGCTGGACAGAGGATTGGGAGAAGCAAAGGACACCTAAGCCAAGTATAAATGTATCTCCTTGACTGAGGTTAGACAGGAAGTTCTGCCACTGTGTATTTTGTGAACATTTCTGCACATCCTGTGCATGCTGCTGAATCACACCTCAGCTGTAGCGGCAATGCAGCTCATTTTTTTGTTCCACTCTGAATTTAAGCTTCTCACATGCATAACATTGTGGATCACCATCGCTCCAGGATAGTCTCCTCTTCCTGGTTTCCCCCTCCAAACACAGGACGTGGGGAGGTTAGGGGCAGCAGATATCTCCTCTGACGTGCATGATGCCAGCCACCTGCTCCCTTCTGCTCCATGAGAGAGCAGGAGAGCACTGAGGAGTGTTGGTGGGGAGGGGGATCCAGATAGCTCACAGAGCGCAGTGCGAATTATTTTTAATTTTCTGGGCCTGCTTGTCACAGATGGCTTATGTGGCGTAGCAATGGTCAGACCTGGGTTCCCTGTCTGAGTTGGCAGACCACCCGAGAGGCTCAATATATGAATTTCCCCAATTTTATTTTTATGTATATTTTTTGTACCCTTTTTTGTTTGCTAGGTCTGTCAGTGGACACACAAATCGCTGTACACGGCCCACCTACGCAGGCTCTCGCCAAATTAACCACATCCCATTTATTTCAATTTGGGATTAAATGGATTTTTCCTGCCTGTTGGGATGATCTGTCTGCCCCTGTATGTATAAGGCTTGCATTATGGCCGGCCAAGGTTAAGTCGGAAAATACCAGCATTTGTATCAATGTTGGTGGTTTTGTGTGTGAAAACTGTAAAAGCCACCCCTTGATATGTGATTATGTTCTTTGGTTTGCTTTCAGTTATTGGACGATGTTGTTATATCTACACAAGCATACGGTGCTTCCACTGAAGACAATTAATACTTTTACAATGTATTCTTTAATTTACCTCACTAATAAGAAGTGCTACAGAAATGTAAAGTGTCTAGTTTGTTGCCAGATTATATGCATTATGCTGTTTTTGGAAGTATTTGGGAAAAAATTGAATCTCAATGAACAAAGTGCTGGTTGAACCCTACCTTATTGTCCATAAATTTAAATTTAAATGAGAGTTATTTAACTGCTGTCTGCAAATAGGTTATAGAATAATTTTTCATTTTCAATTTAGAATGAGGTTGGTTTACAGATACTGGTACATACATTTCCATACACTGTGCAATCCTAGTAAGTATAATCATGGTTATATTAAGACAACTACAGATCTGGGAAAAATTAAGAGACAGCAAAATTTTCAGTTTCAATCATCTCTCAATTTATGGGTATGCACCTGTGATATATATATATATATATATATATATATATATATATATATATATATGCGCCTCATGAATGGGAGGATGACATCAAGTGACCTTCAGCAGGAATGGGAAACATTAAGTGCAGGTGTGAAGTGCACTGCTAGGACAGTGTGTATCAGGTTCCTAGAAGCAGGACTGAAGAAAAGCACGGAAGAAGCCCTTCATTAATGAGAAACAGTGAAGGGCCAGGCTGGAATTTGCAAAAATGTAACTTAATGTTTCCCATTCTTTTTGAAGGTCACTTGATGTCATTCTCCCTTTCATGAGGCACTGTTAACAGTTAACAGTCATCTCTTCCATTAGAAAGTTGCTTCTGCCCTCTACCTGGCTGGTTTCTGGTCGTTCCCAGTGTCTCCTGCTTCACCTTATTCTTGTGTGCTGCTGTCTTAGAAATGTTGAAAAATATAGTGTGGTCTCAATTTTTTCCAGAGCTGTATATTAAGAAAAACAAGCTGGCAATTGTCTGCACAATAATAACACTATTGTGATAAATAAGGGGAATGCTGTCTGATTTCCTTAACTATACCAACATGTTATATGATTATATTACATTAGATTAGATTCAACTTTATTGTCATTACACATGTACAAGTACAAGGCAACGAAATGCAGTTTAGGTCTAACCAGGAGTGCAATAAGCAGTAAGTGCAGGATAAGGTATAAGTTATAAGTGCACTTAAATGGGATATGTGCAGGGAGAAAGTAAGGGTAATATTTACAGATGGATATACTGTGAGCATAATATACAGATTGCTAGTGACTATAATCAGAAATTTACTAATAGATGAACAATATATACAGGTTGCTATTAACTGTGATCAGGAATTGCCGATAGATGATGGGATGATCACCGGTTTCATTTCATTAAAACTGATCGGCAGAGGCATTATTCATCAGCACTCCAGTGCAGACACCCCTCCTCTCCCAGAAGTTCCAGCAGTTTCCCCTAAACCAACAGCAGCTCCCTGACACCTGCAAAAGACGCACAATGTCCTAGAAATCTGTTGTTCTGCTGTTCATTGGTGATAAAATGCACCAGTAAGAATTTTTACCCCCCCCCAGCATTAGGCATGGGTGCTATGTTATTTTTAAAAGCAATGATATTCTGATATTTCCCTGTAAAATTTGTGGAGTGGGGGTGGGGATGGAATATTCTTTATTCAGTATGCTGAGCTCCCATCCAGGCTGTCTCCCGCCTTGGCTGTGTGTTTCCTGGGAAAGGCTCGAGGCTCACTGTCACCCTGTACTGGATAAGCAGCTATGGATTGTGTATTCAATGCATAAAGAAGAACTTTGGAACCTGCATGTTAGTGTCACTGAATGCAAGATTGACAGCGGAGGTAACCAGTTGGTAGGCAGTTGCGGGGGGGGGGGGGCATGCAGAGAGTGGGACCAGTTTTCCATCTGGGTGTTTTATGCCCAAGACCAGCCCATTGTCATCGTTCTGGGGGAACTGATAAACTTTGAGAAATGTATATTTGCAAGTTTTCCTGCAGAACAGTCATGGTCTGTTTTGTGTGTTTGTGTGGGTATGTAAGTATGTGAGAGAGAGAGAGAGAGAGAGAGAGAAAACTTGCTGGTTAACAATCTGAAGCGTCATAGATTTTTAAGGTTGTACAGTTATTTTGTTTCCGACCGGATCAATTTTAAACTTGTCAAATAATTTTGTTCCTGACTGGTACAGCAACTAAGCAACCCACTGGGAAATCTCCCGAGTCTCCCGACTGCCCACCGTGCGGCCTGTCTCCTGTGGTGGGGGCTGCATATTGTGGCCCAGCAGCTCTATGAGTTCTCAGGGATGGAAAGCAGGGATCCGGCCCCCACCATGACACCATATGGCTCCCTCAAGCTGCTCATATCCCGGGATCGCTGATTAAAAACATGGGGGAAAGAAATTCGCATGGCAGTTTATAGTTTCTCAAGTTTGAATCAGTTTATCAACATTTTAATCAAGTTATCTAACCTGAATAACTACAGACATTTTTTTCAGCATAAAAAGGCCTGCAAACCATTCAACATCCAACCCCTTACTGGGTACTGAGGTGAAGCTGGAGGCAGGATGGGATGTGCCCCCCCCCCGTCACTGCAGGGAGGGAGCAGGTCGGCAACTGCATCCCTTCAGGCTGTGGAAGGACCTGGAGCAAGGAGGCATGAGGTATCAATGATACCCACCTGATAACCAATCATATCCAAAGGGACACATACTGTATTCGATCAAAGTAAAACTAGACAAAGGTTGCTGCTAAATGTGAGCTTTGCTTTCTTTTAATCTGTGGCATAAATGGTGCCAGGTCTTACAGTCCTGTTTTATGACTTAGATAATGAAACAGGCTGTATAATCTAATTGGCAGGGAGACACCCCTCACCAGTCATGTGCTTTTTACATTATTTATTTCATAGATTTTTTCTATCTAAGGTAATGTGCATCTTTGCTTTTTTTGAGAAAGCAGCATCAGACAGTTGCCTGAGATCACACTGTAAACACTGGTACTTGAACCAATGATGATCTGATCACTGATGCAGGATCCTAACCCTCTGACCCAATCATAGCACCGTTTATATATGCTGTCTGGGTTTGGTGCTTCATAATAACTGTTTTGGCAAGATGGCTAAGGTAATTCAAGCCTATTTTAATTTGCGGGGTTTGTGAGATGGAAATGGAGTGAATAGCTGCAGGTATACTGTATTTTGTGAATGGACAAAGCATTCAAAGAGGCTGATTCAGCTTTGACAACCTATTGCAGGAGGCACTTAAACTGCTGTTCGCATGTTAATGTGGGTGTTTTGCAATGATGGGAAGTCCTGTGAACTAGATATTTCTAAAATGTGATACTGGAAAAATGTAGGAGAAAAGATCAGAAGAGGCCATTTCATAAGTGTGGGGAACACATGACATGTGCCTAAGTGGAGGTCATTCTGACCGTGTGGCCCACTGTCTGTACAGGTCATCCTGTGCTGTTCACAATCACAGCACTGGGCAAGAAGTTCAACTGGTTCAAATGGTCTAATAATTTGTTTAGTGAAGTGTTCAAGTAGATCAGAAAAAAACAGTAATGCTACTGCCGGCAAGAACTAGGAGAATTAGTAGGTTATATGCACCATCCATCCATCCATCCATCGTCCACCCATTTTCTACATGCTTATCCTGCTCAGGGTTGGGGGTAAGTGGGTAGAAACTGCAATAAATAAATAAATATTTATGTGTGTATGTATATATATACAGTCAAACCTCGGATTACGAGTAACTTGGTTTGCGAGTGTTTTACAAGACGAGCAAAATTTTAGAATAAATTTTAACTTGATAAACGAGCGAGGTCTTGCAATACGAGTATTACGTATACGCTTTGTCTGCATAGCGTCACGTGATCACAACTGAGCCGATGGCAAAAGTCGTCCTACAAAGTAACCTTCCTCTTCTCCTCTCTCTCGTCTCCCTCACACCATCCACGATTCTTTTCAAAGGTAAAGTGCAGGTTAATTTGTTTTATGTATTTTTACTTTATATTTTGTATTAATCATTTTTATATGAATATTTTTGGGTAGTGGAACAAATAATCTGAGTTTCCATTATTTCTAATGGGAAAATTATACGAGTGCTTTGGATTACGAGCATGTTTCTGGTGTTCTGACGAGTTGAGCTACCTATCGAGACGTGCTATCGAGCCTTTCTGTGCATGTGCAGTTCCACCGTTTTAGGATTAGGGTTAGGTTTTAGGGGTTAGGGTTAAGGTAAGGGTCTTAGGGGTTTTTGGGGGGTTAGGGTTAGGGTTAGGATAAGAGTTAACATCTAACACTGATACCTAATTATTCACCAAAGCAACATTCCTACTGTACATACATACCTGCATTCTGCCCTGCTTAACATCCACCTTGTAAAACCTATGCTGTGTTGGATTGCTGAGCCATGGAAATTAGGTGTGCAAACCCAGCCAACCTGTTACCTAACAGCTATCAGCATCACCTCTAACATTGTTTGTGTGTCACATACCAGAAGCTGGAGATAAAGGCAAAATGGAAAATAACTCAAATTCAGATCAGACACTGAAAATGGTGGTGTCTAACAACAGTAACTGATAAAACGATATAAGTATTGAAATTTCGAGATGAGTGACGAAGGCCTGCTTAACCTGAAGTCAGAGATCATCTCTCAACATTACTGTTGCTATGGAGTTCCAGTACAAGGGGCTTCACCCCCCCCCATTATCACCAAATAAAAATAGAAGATATCCCACAGAGCAACGTAAGAGGTAACACTCACATATGTTTCACAGCTTCACTGAAACTCATCTGCTCGTTAGGAGCCTCAGAATTCACCGGCCTGCTGGATTCCTCTTTGCTACTCGGACAGCAGCTTCATAAACAGACCCTGTATGTGTCGTGTTTCACAGCTGTCTCTTTATACACCACTCCCTGCCTATTCTATGTCAACTTCCATGCCTGAAGTTGACAATAAAAGATACCTTTGATGTCGTCTTTTGCTTCTCCTGCACACTTAAATGGGGTATATCACTCCCCTAGGTTCACACAAACTATACATTATTCACACTTATAAACACAATAATGGATTGCAATTTAATTAAATCATAAGCCGGCTATGTGATATTCATGCCTTTCAGTAGAGTACAAGAGGAAAACAGGGCTGAATGGAAGCCGAACCTCTGAGCTGTACTCGGCTCTCTGATTTTTTGAACCCCAGGCAGTACATGCAAATTCCACAGGGAGAACTGCACCTGGACATTTCTAGTCGATCGCAACAGAACTCCTGCCTCAAACACCCACCCTTGCCAAAATAAACTATTGCGGTAACGGTAGTTCGCCAACTACCTCTGCTATAACAGAAACCACTAAATAACAGAAATTTTTCCCTAGCTAAAAAGTAAACATTTGTCGTGTTTGAAAATTAAAAGACCAACTACAAACAATCTTCATATAATTTTGCATCCAAACAAAAGACTTGAATTTGATCCTTGGTACCTATAGCATTGAAGTGATTAATAAAAAATACACTTATTTCCACTGTTAATACAAATGTCATAGTCATGCTGTCGTGTTATCTACATGAACATCCCATTTGTAAAGGAAATTAATCATCTTTTAATGACCTATATCTGGATTTAGGGAGGATTCATGTTCAAATGATCCATTATCCAGCAGGAGTTACACTGACCCTGGGTAAGCATTTAGGCTGACAGCCAACCTTCTCTCTTACCAGAATGAACAGGTTGTCATAGTTTAATTTTCATTTCAAAATGGAATCATGTCAGGTTGCATTTGCCAATATAATTTTATTATTGGAAACAAATCCTTTGAAAGGTCAAGATAAGATCCCTTTGTAAAACCGTCGACTTTACTTTTCAGTAACATACAAGTATTTGATTGACGTGAACAATTTCAAACAGTACTTCTATTTTCAAACAACCGTTTTCAGTGAATACTGTGTATCCTAATGTATCCATACTGCTTATTTAAATGACAAAAGCACAGCTGGTAAGAAAAATAATAATAATTTGTTACAATTTCTGACATTTTGTAAATAAGCAAGGAAATTTGTCAGCAAGTATATTTAAATAGCTGTGCTTCTTTACAGCAGCTTGAATGGATCTTAACGTACATTTCAGCTACTCTCTTTATAGCGTCTTTGATGAGAAAACTAACAAATGGCAAACAGTCTGCAGCACGGCCCCTTTGCCTGCAGTATTCATTTTCTCTTGTGAGAGGAATGCCATTCAATATTGTAAACGAGTCACTCTGCCACTAAGAGACTGACTGACTAGGGTTATTGATCCTTAACAGAAAAACTGTAATCCAGCAAAATTGGGAATATTTCAGTCTCCCAATAAATTACACCATGAGAGGGGAGAGAGAGGGCTAGAGAGAGAGACAACACCAAAACTGTCATAGAAAAGAATCTTTTTTTTTTTTTGCTTTGAGCATTCTGATCTGGAACCAGATTTATCCAACATTAAGGTTTTTCTTGCAGTTGAATTAATACATCAGCATTGTGTTTCTGAGCATTATTACCCAGCTGCATCAGCGATGACCCAGGACTGTCAAACACATTGTCAAGCATGTTTCAACACCTAAACTATACATCTCAAACTGAGCGGCTCTTTGGTTACTCCTGCACTCCAACAAATTTAAAGATCCGGCCATAATGTTCAAACTTTACGGCTCTATCTAGTTCATTCCCGCCGTCTTCACTGTCCATAGGACACTGTTCATAGTCAAGAAAGTGTGAAAACAACAGATAAAGGTAAATATAAAGGAGAAAAAGAGAAATCCTCTTTGAATTAGTGATGATTAAAGACACCAAAATATTTCCTACTAAAAATCATTATTCAATCCATAAAATAAATTAAGTGGAACAGGCTCAACAATTACAGCTACGTATGGACTGAGGTACAATGGTTAAAAACGCTGTAGAAGGCAACAAGAAATGCAAATTAATTTAAAAGAAACTCCAAAGAAAATTAAGGCATTTCACCTGCAGATATAACATTTAAACCACGTAGTAAACAAGTACGTCTATTATGAGCACCTTAATGTGGTGAAACCAGTATCTCGTAAAACCAAAAAGTACATTTTGCTAATAAAGTCAAAATTTAAGAAATTAAAATGATAGTATGATTTGAACCAAAACACACAAATAAGTTTTTATAAAATAATGAGAACATCGAGGGATATTTTCTGCTGTTGCAGGAGAGCGGTTGGACAGAAAGATATTAGTGAAAGGCCTGCAGTGATGTGAGCCCCGATCACATGACCCTGTACCCACTCTCATACCCATCATGCTGGACATGCAGGAGTACCCATCCAGCCACAAGGACAGGAGATACAGTCAACCCCTGAGAAACCCATGTGACACTTCCCCTCCAAACAGACTGTTGTCCCAGGCAAATTTTTGGGTGGGGAGTCGCTTGGGGGCACTTAGCCGTCGGTGGCTAGGATGAGCGCTGCTCCAAAGACCCCCACGTTCTGCCCGATCAGCTTCATCTGGTTCCAGAACTCCACACGCTGGTTGTGGTGCCAATAGCCCACGTTGCCATCAATGAAGAGGACCACCAGAGGCAGCAGGGTGGCCAGGATCTGCGCAGCAAGGCATACGTAGCAGCCAGAGAGGAAGGACAGCGCCAAGACGCCGTACAGCACGAACAGCAACTGCAGGGTGAGCTCGCCCCCAGGAATGTGGTTCAGATAGGCCCGTCTGTCCTCTGGGCTGTGCTGCAGTGAATATGCCTGTGGAGAACAACATTATTGAACGGGAGTAGTTGTGACACAGGCCAATTACTAATTAGCTGCCCTTTCATTGATTTAGTTTGTATATTTTCTTGAAACCAGTCATCAATCTTTCAACTGCTAATCCAATATAGGGTCAAAAAGGAGCCTGGAGCCAAAGGCAGGCAAACAGCCCTGACAGGATGCTAATCAACTACAGGGCGCATACATTCACACACTAGGGGTGTACGTAGATGGGCATCAATGCGTCGCAATGAACTGATTAGAAGGGGTAGCGATTCAACTTCGTCGATCTGTTAAGTCAGAGTGGCCTGCAGATCGATCTTTCATTTTCCACAAAATAAAAAACTATGTATTGTCATTCCATTAATGGAATAAACGGCAAGGTTTCACTGATGGGAAGTGGCTCAGAGGTTAGCAGTTACCAGTATTAGTGATACTAGACAAAAATATGTTAGTTACTGATATCGGGCAAAATTTCCACATCAATGCACTACTAGTTAGCCCAGGAGAAACCAGCCAATCAGGTATCACGTCCTTCATGCCTTTGTTTAATTATGTACAGTTCAGTAGTTGGACTTCTTGAAAATGTATACTGGCTGCGTAATAATACCCATAAAAATGAATGTTCTGCAATTCTACTTTCTTTGTTGCATCCCATTAACAGTGTATAATTAATTCTCCATGGTCATATTTCTCTGTGAAGTTAGAAAAAAGATTATCACATTAATCAAATAATCAATGAATCAAAATCAAACCATGGTAGAAATGAAAGATTTCTGATGCAATGATCTGACCCCTAAATTACTGAAATCAAATTGCCTTGGGGCTGATGATTTACAGTCCTAATAACTTTCAAACCTCACACACAAAGTGGGGAGGAGATTTACACCCCAAGTCCTGGAAATCTGAGCCAGCAGTGCTACCCACTGAGCGATGAAGCCATCCAATATAACGACACTGCTGTAAAAACATTTATAAAATGCTGTTGCTGTGTAAGGCATCATCATGTATAGGGAATGAATGGTTTTAATTTTATTATTATTAATATTATTCTTATATTTTCATACATTCATAATGCAAAATTGCAGCAGAGCCAACAGCAGCAATACAGAAGCAAATCAGGCAATGCAGACAGACCCACAAACAGTCCTACCATGCAAATCAAGTAGATGCCCAGGAAAACCTGCCCAGTGGACTGTAGGGACCTGGTGCGGGGTTTCTGTCGGTACACCTCCCCAGCACCGCTGGCCAGGACCAGAAACCCCCCAATGATGGCAAAGGCCCGGGAGTACATCCGCACCTGTGAGAGAGAGGAAGGTTAGCTGAGGTTCCCAAAGGCTAAAGTGGCCTGTTGGTTTGGTCCTGACAGCCATACCTTCAGCCAGTCGCTGTAGTGCACCTGCCCTCCCGCATAGGACACGTACGTGCTGATAGCCAGCTGGAGGGCAGCACCCAGTGCAAACCATCTCCTCTTCACTCCAAAGGACATAAAGCTGGCACAAAGCACAGCAGCTCCCATGTCCAGATACAAATAGGGCACCTGAATATCAGGCTTCCTGGAGACACACACATTTAAATGTAATATTACAAGACAGAGAAAGCAGAATTCAGCTTACTTTTGCTAACAGTTGCTATGCTTATTACAATATGGAAGACTTTTGAAATAAGAAAATAAAAAATACATGCATGCTGTGAATCTACTTTGATAATCATCCTGGGTTTTAGTTATAACCAAAGACAATGAGCTGTAAATCTACAACTTTAACTTCATCAAAGAACTATTTTCAAAATGATTTCACTGTAAATCACAGAAGAGTGAATATGCAAACAGATAACTGGCACTGAAAATACAGACAGCACTTATTCAAGTAATAATCCAATAGCAATATATAACGATAATAAAACGCATGTGGGATTTACTGCTAGATATAAAAATCGCATTTCAAGTACGAAGCTGGATATCTATGTTACTCGTCAGAAACATTGCAACCAGACTCCAAAATATAAGCAAATCCCCAAATACTTACCGCTTAATATCCGCTCGTTCAGCAAACAACATGAGCATACTGAAGCAATTCCAAAATCCAAAACGCGTGAGGATAAACGCCCCGAAGCGGGTTAGGACCCTCAAGACCTTCTTTCTGTTGAAAGTAGCCATGCTATTATGAGCGGAAATGCACTGCGTGCAACTTCCGTTTCCTTTTTGTTTTCGGGACGACCGCGCGGAGTGACGTCACCGAACCAGGTGGGCGTTTTTTGAAAGACCACGTGGTATACTGGAGCCGGGAAAAGATGGTACAATGTGGATTACGGTGGTAGGTACAAAACCTGCACCAGGGTGCTGGGTACTATACTGGGTAACCGGTTGTGGAGGGATGGATGTATTTCATTAATGGTTTACCTGGTGTTAATCTACGAACGGCATGCAGCTTCTCTCAGGCTATAAGAACCGGAGCTATTAGCTGTTTGATAAGCTGTTAGGTGTCAAATTGGAAAACATCGGATTTATACGATGTTAACAATATAAAATTTTGCATGGTATCAGTTTTCAGAACATTACAAAAACTGTAATTAAAAGTCTAAAAATATGTTTCCTGCAATTAAATTAATATCGTGATTATTAATTTTTTTCTGAATACATTTGGACTGACTTTGAAATCTTAGGCTGTATTATTTCAGTATTTACTTTGAGTTTTGATTATTTACATTTTATTTAGGAATGCATAAGAAAGATAAAATTGTGCACTTTAGCCCATGTGTTTATAAAGTTGTGCAATGAAATATCTGTCACTCATTGCAGCCCTGGGAAAACTGGAGGTAATGAAAGAAGTAAATGTTGTGTTGTGTTGTGTGGGAGGCTGGGTGGTCTAAGGAACCAGACGAAAAGTAAAGTGCCTTTAAAACTAATTGGGATTCTGCTCTTGAAACAAAGGTTTGGGTTCCCATTCAACCTCTGAAACATTTTTTAACAACTGCAGGATCATGTGTTCAACTGGTTTGTTTTGCTCTAGTGCTGTAAGTTAAAATTAAATCAGTACCCTTATGTCCATATGTTATGCAAGCAGTGCAGTCTAGTATCTCTCACGCATTATAGCATTGGGAAAGCTGGAGATGATGAGACAAGCATAATCAAATGTTCTTTCCAGAATGGCAAAGAGGTCTAAGGCAGGGATTCTCAACGCATGGGTCGTGACCAAAATTAGGGTCACGGCAAGTTCTGAAAGGGTTATGAGGCAGAGTTGGAAATGTAAGCGTTTTAAAACCAGCAAGCTCCTATACTGATCCACGATCAGATTAACCAGCCCCGATCCTAGAATAAGGTGGTTCAGGAGGTTACCCAGCCTTCCAAAGGGAGCCCTAAAAGCCGTGTGTTATTTTTATCTCACTCATTGGAGCATTGGGAAAGCTGAAGGTTATGAAGTGTTTTTCTGCCTGATTGGAATGGCTGTGTGCTGCTTCAAAATAAGTATCCTTTCAAGTTAAAGATTCTGGTCTCTTATGAGAGGTGCGGGTTCAAGTCCCACTTCTGACAGATGATTTTCATTTGACCAACTGCTTAGTATTAACCCAGTCCTTCAGGTTAAAGTTAAACCAGTACTCTAAACCTAAAGTGTTCGTTCTGTTTCACTCACCGTATCATTGGCAAAGATGAAGGTAATGAGAGAAGGTACTTTAAACGCCTTTGTCAGAATGGCCGAGCGGTCTAAGGCACCAGACTCAAGATAAACATCTTTCCAAAAATAATGGGTATTCTGGTCTCTGAAGAGAGGCGTGGG